AATAATTCCCTTTTCTTTTTGGTGTAATTCCTCCTATTTTCGCCGATGATGAGGGGCGCTCCAAGATTCGATTTTTAAGTTATTACTCGATATATTTAGGATCTTATTATTTGATGTTTTCTTTCTTTATTTTACTTAATTTTAGGAATTTTTTTAATGAATTTTTAGATGGTATTCTAGTTATCTTACGTGATTTGATTTTCACTTTTAAAAATCACCCGAGCCTAAGGGCATCTCAACGGGCTGTAGAACGATGGTGAGGGCGACGACTATTTGATTGGAAGGCCGAACGTGATTGCTACTTGGTTCAAAGCTCTTGGCTCGAAGAGCCGATTGGTTCCGGGTAACGAAGGGCCTGTTTGGTTCAGCTTTTGGGAAATGTATTTGGCAAAATAAAAAGACCTTTGAGCTAAAAGAGTTTTCCAAAATATAAGTAGTGTTTGGTAATGTGTATTTTAAAATCACATTTGAAAGCAACTTTGGCCTAAATACTGTTTGGTAAAAATTATTTATAAAAGACTTTTGCTGATATTAAAAAAAAAAAAAAACTGGCCACCGACCACCACCGCCGGTCAAATTGGTCGCCGGCCAGCCTCGCCTGACCTCAGGGAAGGCGGCCTGAGGTCGCGCGACCTCAGGCGGCGGTCACTTGGGGGTCACACGACCCCGGCGACTGCCGCCTGGGTCGCGCGACCCAGGCGGCAGTCGCCGGGGTCGCGCGACCTAGGCGAGGCCTGAGGTCTGGCGACCCAAGTGGCGTCACTGGGGTCGCGCGACCTCGGTGACCACCGACTAGGGTCGCGCGACCTCAGGCGGCGGTCGCCGGGGTTGCGCGACCCCCAGGCAGCGGTCGTCGGGGTGCTAGCCCTCGGGCGGTGGTCGCTGGCCGCCGGACCAGCTGCTCGGGAAGAGGATGAACAGTGACGATGAACGGTACCCGATTGCATTCCGAAAATGCAACTTGCCAAGGCTCCTCATGAGCTCCTTTCAGCCAAAGGCCCTTGGAAAGCTTTGGAGATGCAATTGCATCTCCATAAAAGCTTGCCAAACAATTTTGCATTTGCTCAAGAGACTTTAGACGCCCAAAGCAGCATTCAAATGCTGAATCAAACAAGCCCGAAGTGGCGTCGGTGGCGAATCGAGGCCATGGCCACCAGCCGGTTAACCTGCTCGCTCTAGCAGGATGGAGGAACCAACGTCCAATTTGCCCAGAGAAGTACCACTAATATGAGGCTAGGTAAAGCACCGGAATCAACCCCGTCGAAGATGCGAAAGATTTTAACAGGCCAATTTTTATCAAGAGACTCCAAACAGTACCTGAACTTTGGTCCAACGTGAATACCGTTCATGTGCTTTTAGTAAATGTCCAATCTGGTCTCTAAACTATAGGAAAATGTTCAATGTCGTCCTTCCGTTAATTCAAGTAAACAGAACTTGCTGATATGGTTTCCAATCCATTAACTTTGAGCGGTGCACAACCAAAAAAAGAAAAGTTAAACTTGGATTTCCAAAGTAATGAGATGTAATAATCTACATCGCCCTAATCTTTTTTTTCCATCTTCTAAAGGAGGTAGATAAAAAAGATGGACATACCGACTCATCGTTTTTAAAAAAAGCACAACTCGGCATATAATAATCCGCATCGTCAAATAACGTATAATTTGTCGTTTGAGCATACGGGAGACCTACATTGAACAAATAAAAAATTCAGGAACGACATTACACGTTGAGTTAAAGCTCGAACACCGTCCGGGTCAAACTTTTCCCCTTCCGGCATGTGATGAAAGGCCGATTCAGCTCGAGTACATGATGGAATCATCGTGCACAAGAACGCAAGAGAGGGGAGCGATTGGAAGGGCAACTTGGAGAGAGGGTGGGAAAAAAAATAGAACAAAGAAGAAAAAAAAACCAGAGGAAAAGTCCAAAAGGTGAACTGGTGTTGACTGTTGACCCAATGCAGTCAAACGTTGACTTGGTTGGGGAAGGTGCACCACGACGGTGCACGAAACTTCCATGCAATGCAACTCAGCTGTCCCCATGTTTTCGATTTAATCAATAACTAATGTTTTTTTCCTTCTTAATTGGCGTATATTATTATCGAGAATGTAATATTTTCGATTTCTCGTGTCGCTTTTGCAATATTTCCACCAGTCTATCGGGTAAATGCAGCTGATATAAGATGCCAAATGGCGTACCGAAAAAAGTTTGGAGACCAATACGTGACCTTGTCATGGATTAAGCTGCAAAATCGACCTAACTTAACGAGATCGAGAATGAGATTTTTCCTCTCACGTTCTTCGAATTCAAAGTGTTGAGGAAAACTCCTATTGATTTTGAAGTTGACAAAACCTTCCATATTATTGTAAATCTAATACTTATTCTGAACTAATTTATTTCAGGTATGTATATTCTGGAAGCTTAGAAGGAAGTTATTCAGATTTTACAAGCTGGCAAATACCTTATTGAAGATCCACATAATCTTAGTTCTGAAGACGCAGACGCAGAAATTATTCAAACGCAGAATTCAGAACGAAACACAACAGCTAGTGATCTGGCATGGATTTCACAGAAGGAATGTTCTGATTGTCTCAATCTCAATCAAATTGATTGACAATCAAACATTACGACAAGAAAAGCATTACAACGGACAAAGCTCTACTTATGGAAACCAAGATTCTGATTGTATGGGCGACCAGAATCAGCGGGATTCAGAATCTGTCATCCAACGGCTACTCAATCCTTTCTATACAAATGTGTCCAAGGTGAAGATTGGAAGATGATCATCTGAATGCTGTCCAACGGCTAGTTTGGAAGTAGAGGAGTATTTAAGGAGATCAACGAGCAGCAGAAGGAAGTACAAAATCAAGAATCAACAAGTCTAAAGTCTGAGCATATTCCGATCATTTTCTCTTGTCTTTCTGAGCCATACATTAAGATCTTGAGGAACACTTTGTAAGAGTGATTGTGTGAGATAGAGAGTCCTATCATACACAAGAGTATTAACACTTAGAAGTTGTAAGTCCTCTTGATTACATAGTGAAATCCAGCCGGTAGGCTATAAGCGTAGGAGAGTGGACGTAGGCTTGCTATAAGCCGAACCACTATAAATTTGTGTGCAGATTCTTTATCCCTTATCTCTTACTTTACATTCTACACATCAAAAGCACCGTCTATATAATCTGTCTTGAATCTGAATTTTATTTAGACTCTTCTGTGATTTATTTTGTTTCCGCATAAATTATAAAAAAATTGTTTAAGATCACCTATTCACCCCCCTCTAGGTGATCCTTGCTAGCTACATCACAAAGCATCGCTTGAGTTAATTTCAAATTCACTTTACGAACTTATTTTTACCCGACGAATTTTTCAAGGGCTTTTTTTTTTTTTGGCCCCAATGATTCCAAACGTAAACAAGAAAACCACTCATAGAATTAGAAAGAACGACTTTTCAGATTAAATGGAAAAAGAAAGGGTCAATCTGTAATCATCAAGCGGAATTTGACGGTGGCACATGCACGTGGCATGTTAGATTTCCAAGATTTTCTCTCGAAGCAACGTGGATTAATACAACGAAAGCGGCTTATCCAACCTTTGTAGTTTCAGAAGTGAAGAAAAAATTCATGTGGATTTTTCCATCTTAAACGACATCCCACACGATTTTGTTCTTCGTCCATATTTTCTGTTTGGAATTTTATCTTCGTAGCGAATGATATCGGGAAAGTCTATGTCCACAGTCTAATTGTGCTGACAAATGCACATATTAATAAAAAAAGAAAAGAAAAACGACGGACCATTTCGAGTGTACATACCTGTATACAAATTATTTTCTTATATCAATGAGCGCGCGGGGTTATCTGAGTGCTCGGCTAATTCCCATCGGGTGTGACAGTCTCCCTGTTCCATACATGGATCGTATAATTACCAGAAACACATTATCTACGCTCCCGGAGGCGGCCCCAATAATACCCGCACGCATGACGGATCGAATCCAAATTTAAGAGAGGAGGGCGAACGCGATTACCACTTAAACAACTTGTTAGAAGTTGTATACGAGCTTACGTCGTGTTTGTGTTAAACTTCCCGCCACTCTAATAGCTCCTCTCTCGTGCTTGAATTGGTAACTCGAGTTGTCCATTAGGACCATTACCATGACATCAACGAACGTGCCAACCTAAGAATTCAAGTTCTCATAAAACACACGTGTACGGGTTCTCGGGTCCGGGTTGAGTTTTGCCGGTTTCAATTACAAAACTGAGTTGGTGGCGGTCGGGCCTGTTCATGTTAGGAGTACCATATCTTTAGCCCATCACTTGACTACATGATTGGATTCCAATTCGACTCGTGTTGTGCCATCATACATCGGTCTAGCCCGTCCTCGCCGGGTCACCAAATCGATGGAAGGGTTCAGTCCAGCTCGGGCGATCGATCTCTCTTCTTCCTAATTTAGAGGTATCGTGTTTGCAGCAGATCACATCACTAGTCTCCGGGATAAGAAGATCATGCCATTGTAGATTGCTTAGGATTCCCATGAACATGAATCCATCAATTCCATATTGGAGTGAACTTTAGAAGTTCAGATCACGTTAAGGGCCATGGCAGGAGCAAGCTCCAACAAGGGTCCGAAAGGCCTGGCGGGCCGAATCAAATGGCGGACCGCAAATCAAGATCCGACCCAAAAACAATCTCCTCCTCCTCCTTCCCAAATTCAACATCTTGATCAAGTGTGATTTCAGAGGTTGGTCCAAAAGGCAACGGTGGACCCGAGATGAAACAGTCGATTTTCTAAAGCCTAAAATTGAGGTGAGAAAGAACTGCAGGACCCGCCAGCGGAACGACGAGGCCCCACCAGGAACTTTAGTTCGCTCGTGAAGGAGATGATTTCATTATTCTCGAGAGGACCACAAGAAAAAGCGGAACACACCAGGACCAAATGCCATGATGGAGCTTGGTGTTTAGTTCATCATGGTCCATCCAAGGTTTGATGATGCCGAGTGCCACAACTGTGGTCAATCATTAGAATCGTGTTCCTGAGCCATCACTGCGACTCATGCACATCAATAATGATTCACGGCTAATTGATAACGGCTGGGCTGTAAAGGAGCCAGACGAAAAGGAAAGCGGATCAAATCCAACGAAACTTGGGCAAAGAAATGAAAAGAAACGATGAGGAAAAAAGCAAAACCAGGACTTGATGATTCCCCTCGATGTCGGCGACGCGGTAGACATTCCCATCATTGCTGCTGCTCCTCCTTGCTTTTCTTTCCTCTTTCTCGAGTTGTATGTTCACAGATGGGGAGTGTTTTTTCGTTTTGATGCCACTCGAGCTGTGTAGCAATGCGAGAATAGCTGTAGCTTCGGTTGGTGCGTGTGCCTCGGTAGATTCGTATCATGGCTGTTTCGCCGGAATCGGGTCGCGAGAGGCCCGTCGATTTCCGCGCCCCGCCGCCATCCCCGGTGGCGTCGGGCCGGCGGTCGTGCGTCACGAATGACGACGTCTTGACCGAGTTCTTGGAGAGCTCGCTCCGAGTCCCTGATCTCGTCTTGCCCGACAAGATCTTCCCGAAGCAGAAGTTCATCGAGAACCCCTCGAGCGTCCATTTCGACTCGTTGGGCGCCCCGGGGAGCGACTCCGCATCGAGAATGTTGGATTCCATCGCGAGGGTCGGGTGCTTTCAGCTGGTGAACCACGGGATTGGATGCGAATTCTCGAATAGTGCAATGGCAGCCGCCGCCGGGATCTTTCTGGTGCCGCCGGAGAAGAGAGCGGCAGCGATGAGATCGCCGGAGAAGCCTTACGGATTCGAGGAAGTCCACGGCGGCGAGGAAGATGAGAGCAGTGAGTTGGCTGAAGAGTTTATGTGGTGTAGAGAGAAAGGGTTGGAGTCGGCGATGAAAAGAATATGGCCATTGGGTTATTCACATTTCAGGTAAATAACTACCTGGTTTTTTGTCCTCTTATGCGTTCAACTTCAGTTTGATGCTACTGGATTACCTCGTTGATCATTCTAGGAAATCAGATCATTCTCCAAATATAGGCGTAAAGTTCTCGGGTTTGCGCTCGAGTGATCTGCGATTGTTATTCTGACAAAGACTGAGCTAGCAGATAATGCAACGCCCGTGATATGCAGCGCCTTCTTATGTAACTTGCTCCCTAATTTCGGGTTAAATTACAGTGATAAAATGGCGGAACTTCAATCACATGTTGAGAAGATTGCAGAGAGGGTCATGACAGTTCTCCGGGAGAAATGTCTTGATGAATCTGCAAGCGGAAACAATGGCCTGAAAGGCGAAGGATGTGCCGGTGCCAGCATTGGAACAGTGTGTTGCATCCTTAAGCACAGCAAGAATGTCCTGGACGACGATCAGTGGGCGAGCTCTCTCAGGTACGACGTGATCAGGATGCTGATTAGAGGAGCCGATTACTCCCACGCCTTGTGCTTGCACATGTGCGACGGCGCTTCGGAGTTTCACGTGTACTCCAAGAAAGGGTGGGTCTCGTTTTGCCCCGATAAACACTCTCTGATCATCACAGTTGGTGATCAATTTCAGGTATGCCGTCATCGTCGGTGATTTATTGCAGGTTGTTACTGTTTCACTATCCAAACTGGGAAAAACTATGGTTCTTCCCAGAAAATTAAGATCAAGTGAAAACTGAATGACATTGGCAAAGTGGCTAGTGCCATCAAAGCAATCAAGTAGGAAGATTGAATGAATGAATGCTTCCAGAAGTCGAACTCTAAATAACTTGGTCGTTATCGCAGCACATAAACAGACATTCACGCTCGCATCGTTCATCTGCATACTAGAATTGAAGCCTCGTGTTGTTGAATATGTGTGAAAATTGGTCCTTCGTCCATATCCGATCCGCTGTCGAACATTCACAGCGCCCTTCTCTTTTTCTTTTCTGCAGGCATTGAGCGCCGGGCGGTACAAGCACGTGGTAGGGAGGCCGATCGTCAAGAGCGAAACAGAAGACCGCATCTCGATGGCTTTCCTCTACTCGCCTCCCGCGCACGCCCCGGCTTCTAACGACGTAGAGTGCGGCGGAGGAAGAAACACGTTCTCCGTAGGCCAGCAAGTCATGGTGGCCATCGCTCTAAGCCTCGCATACCATCTTTTCGTTTACATTCTCAACAAGTTTTGATCATCTTCGGTTTCTTCTTTCTTTCCTTCGATCGTGGATACAGCACGGGGAGGACCATATACGAAGCAAGAAGTTTTCGTTTTTCCTTGTGTGTGTGAATCTGAAGGACAAGGTGTTCTTGAGTTTTCACATGATTGTTGACAAATTTGTATGACTTTTTGGAAAGTACAGAGTTAGGTGAAGTTTCAGTTTTTGATCAGCTTGCTGGATTTCTTTTTTATCCATAACTTACAATCCAGAAATAAAGAGACAATGGTCTCGACATTTACGCATTTAGATGCTACGGACATAACAAGAGCTAAGATAAATTACTATATCATAAAGAACTTGGGAACATTATAGCAATCCTTGGATTGGAAGTACTATCCAAGGAAGATAGATTAGCCGTGGCAATAGCACGAAAAATTGAGTGTTTTCGTAGTCCAAAGCTCAAGCAAAGGAGAAAGTCATTATAGAGACTAATTGGGAAAGTACCAAAAATATCCCAAACGTATTGCATCGATACTAATTCAGTCATAAACCTTTTAATTAGATTAATTTAGTCCTAAACCTTTTGCATTTGTGCCAATTGAGTCTATCCCACTAATTTTGTCGGAAATCGCTGACATGGATGCCTGCCATCCTCAATTGCACGACCGGCACTAACAACCCCCATCGGCCACAATGAATAAAAAGGAAAAAAAAAACTTAGAAAAATATTTTAAAATTGTAAAATTTGCCCACATCAGCACCAGTCGTGCCACGTAGGACGGCAGAGGTCCATGTCAGCGATTTCTTACCAAAATTGGCTAGATGGATTTGATTGGTACAAATGCAATAGATATAGGACTAAATTGGTCCAATTGAAAGGTTTAAAACTGAACCGGTACCAATGCAATGAGTTTAAGATTTTTTTGCTACTTTTCCCGAGAGAATTTCGTATATCATACCAACTAGAAATTCAAAGCTCTGTCTTCCCTATTGATGAATCTAATAGAAATCCAATAAAAGTTGGGAAAATGACATAACTGGTCCCTAAACTTTGCCCCAATATTTAATACGGTTCCTAAACTTTAGCCCAATATGCAATGTGATCCTTGAACTTTAGCCCAATGTGCAATGTCATCCCTAAACTTTTAATTTGTTTAATGTGATCCCTAAACTTTTGGTAAATATTCAAATTAATCAATGGACTATCATTGTACTTCAGGTCAAAGTTCATGACCAGTTGTGTCATTACCACATAAAAGTTCAATGGTAAGTTTTCTTATAAACAATAGAGTTGGTAAATATCCGATATTGTACATGATCACATAAATGAATTGAAGCATGTTAGGTGTGTTTAGTTCGGTTTCGAGGGAATGCTTTTTAGAAAATGCAAAGAGAGATTTTTCAAAATGTAAGTAGTGTTTGGTAAAGTGTATTTTAAAATCAAATTGAAAAACAACTTTGATTTAAATACAATTTGGTAAAAACTACACTTTGTAAAGGTCTTTCGCTAGTTTTTTTTTTTTTTAAATTCTCAAACTATTTGTCAGCGGAACTCAATTGCTGGAGAGCCAAATCGGTCGCCAGCTGCTCACCGGTGGCTGAGGCCTTCACCGGCAACGTTAGGGTTTTCAAGGACATTTTCATAATTATGAAAGTATAGTGGGGTAAAATTATAAGAAAAAAAAGTCCGTTTGCGTTATAAAATGCAGCATTCCAAAGCATCTCAAACTCTCTCTTGGGCTGAAGGCCTTTGTCACATCCTTATATGCCTTTGGAAATGTAATTGCATTTTCCCAAAAAATTTACCAAACGCCATTTGCATTTGTCCATGGGGTTTTGAAAATGTTAAATCAAACGCGCCTGTAATTTGAGACACTGTGATTCATTTTACTCTCATTTTGACATGACTTGATGTGTTTTTATGATGAGAAAATTATTTAACATTTTTATCAGTTAATTCTATACGTGAAGTACAATTTCGTTTTTTCTTAAAGGATTATACCCTAGCACACGGTGGAAGAAATTAGAATAACATGATTATGGCCTTCCAACAACAAGATCATGCCCAACTGAAATCAGATGAAAATTTAGAGTACCTTATTTTTTTGGTCGGAAATGTAGAGTACCTTTAAAGGTTTGTTTCGACATATCCGCAGTACTTTGCTTTCTCCTTACAACATATATTACTTTCGAAAACTATAAGGATTCTTTCGCATTTATTTAAAGTGTTACTCCGCTTATTTTCATCGATTTAGGCTCCGTTCGTTTGGCGGAAAATATTGTGTTTTTGGAAAATGTTTTTCCGGAACACAATTTTCCGGTGTTCGGCTGAAATATGAAAAAATTTCGGAAAATATTTTCCGGTGTTCGGCAATGATCGCCGCCGGCTGTGTTCTTTTTCCTTCTTCTTCTCCGGCGGGTCGCCAGCCACTGCCACGGCCGACGTCCGGCGATCGGCCAGAGGCGAGCTCGAGCGTTGCCACAGGCCGACGAGGCCCCAGCTCGCCCGGCGGGCGACCTGGGTGAGGTCGCTCGATCCGGCGACCTGGGCGAGCCTCGACCTCGGGCGAGCTCGACCTCGCCCAGGTCGCCGGATCTGGCGAGGCCCGAGCTCGCCGGCCGTGCAAGCTGGGGCCTCGCCAGATCCGACGACCTGGGCGAGCTCGACCTCGCCCGAGGTCGCCAGATCCGGCGACCTGGGTCGAGCCTCGCCCGAGGTCGCCAGATCCGGCGACCTGGGCGAGGTCGAGCTCGCCCGAGGTCGCCGGATCTGGCGAGGCCCGAGCTCGCCGGCCGTGCGAGCTGGGGCCTCGCCGGACGTCGGCGAACCTCGCCCGAGGTCATCGGCGAGGCTCTGGCCAGGCTGAGCTCACCGGTCGCCGGCTGCCGACTGGCTGAGGTAGAAGAAGCAGCAGCAACAAAAAAAAAATTAGGAAGAAGTCTGAAGCAGAGAGCTTCAGACTTCCGGAAAATGACTTCCGCTTCTTAGAAGCGGAAGTCATTTTCCTCAAAATTGTGATTGGGGTGGGAAAATGTTTTCCCACGGAAAACATTTTCCGCCCCTGAACACCGGAAAATATTTTCCGGAAAAATATTTTTCCGGAAACAAACACAGCCTAATGGATTAAAAAAATCTCAACGACTAACTAAAAATATGAACAAATAGTTTAAAATAAATTTTAAAAATAAAAAAAATAAAGTTCTTTTTTTTTTGTTGTAATTTCGAAACACTCATTAAGTATATTTTAATGTGAAAATAATTGATTTTTAAAATATTAATTGCGCACTGCACAAAAATAGTCGATACATTGAATATGTCTTGACCAGAAGAAACCCCTCTCTCTCCCTCTCTCTCTCTCTCTCTCTCTCTCTCTGCCTACACAAGAAAGAGTGGGCTTGCTTCGTTGCTAGTGCTAGAGCTCAAGTCTCGTTGGAGCTGGAGAAATGGAGGGAGTTGGGTCGAGGGATTCAACATCTTTCCATTCTCTGTTTTCGCTGTCTGAGGTGAACCCTGACAACCCCCTCTCTCTTCTCTCTTGAATTGATCACCTTCTGCTGATCTTGATCCACCAAGCTCTGGGTGTCGCTGCGTGTGTGTGTGGAGTGAGCTGAATGTTCTGAGCTTCCTTTTATTTTTTGGGTGACCATCAGTTTTTCATTTCGTCGTGTGCCCACTAGATTATGGACCCGGGTTTGTGTACCCATTTTGGCGTTCTTGTTTTTTTTCCTTTCTTTTTTTCAGTTTTCCATAGGTGATGGAAACAACGTTCCTTCTCTCCCCGTGTTCTTGCTGGTAAAGCCCATTATTTTCTCTCTTTTTTTTTTTCACGAGGTGTAATGGAGAGGAAAAACCCTTCTTGCTGCTCGCTTTTGGTGAAAAGCAATCTCGGGCTGCATGCTTATTGTGTTTTGCCTGAAAAAGTTGCGTGCTTTGGTTGCTCCAGTTCGTTGTAGTTGCGCGATTGGGCAACGCAGTTGTGCTTCAAGGGTTCATTCGTTGTGTACAGCGTGTTTGTTTCGGATAATGTGTTCTGGCAAAATAAAAGTAGAAGCTTGCTGGATATGAAACACTGAATTGGCCCAGAAACGATTCCAAAAAGGGAAGAGGCTTGAGCTCCCATCTGAAAAGAAGAACGGTAACAGGGGAAGCAATCATATAAATTAAATCAGATATAGACATATGTTTACCGCTGCGTCCTGTGAATTTACTGAAAATAGTCTCTTTAAAGGATTTTAAAACCTTCTGCTTTTGCCAATCGCATACTATACGTCCAATTGTCCTTTTTCTAGGATTCTATCACGTCTCTCCACAGTGTCCTACATTAATCAATCGACATGAATGAAACCAAATATAAAAGATCCGTGAGATTTGAGCATGTACAACTCATGAAATCATCATATATATATATCTCATAAAATTAGAGAGAAAAGGTTTTGATTTTTATACACTCAAGAAAAGCATCAAGAAGAATTTGTTAAAATCTTCATTGAGGACTCACTAACGTGAATCAACCAGCTAGTATATGTGTGTTGGCTGTTTTTGTTGGCTATGGCTTCACCATCTTGAATGAAGAGGCTCTTTTCAGCAAAGAGTTGTACGAGCACAATATACTTCCTTCCAGTTTGGTTTCTGATGATTCATTTTGTCCTTATTTGGATGAGTATATAACCTTGGATTTAGTTGATGCTTTGGGATTGAGAATGATCTTAAATAGTGGAGAAATGCTCAATTCTTAATGTTTTATTGCCGCTATAATCCCAAATGTTTTGTGCAATCTTTTATCTCGCTGGCAAGGTTTTCATGGTTGGATTCTACTCATTTTTCTCGTTAGCATACTGAATGTTTGGACTGAAATGTTCATTTGATTACGTTCCTTTTCTGATTTCTCGTGTTTCTTGGGTTTTCCATGTTATTTGACAGATCGTGGAGATGGAGAATATAATTAATGAGATGGGAGAGAAATCTTTGCATCAAGAGTTTTGTGAAGAACTTGCAACAAGATTAAGGTCATATTTGTACCTTCCTTTGGGGCGTACCCATACTTTATTGGAATGAACATTATCTGTCTTCGTTTGATTTTATTTGACACGTTATCAGCACATAGTTCCTCAGCAATTCGAGCTGGAAGAGCTGCATTGACGTGGCAACAGGTTTGCATCTTTCCACTCTTTTCATTTTATTCCATCCATCTTTAATATGAGAAAAGAAAAGATGTGGCACAAGCAGTAGAGAGAAAAGTACTTACTCCACAATCACCATGTTCAATTCTCTTTCCTATTGTTTTAGCTCTAGATGTGGCTTGACATCATAGTTCTAACCGTAATCGGGCGATAAACATTTGATGGAACGATCTACCTCTCTTGTATGTCCAGGTGCAAAGTTGGTTCCAGGATAAACACAAAGAACTGCAAGCTGAAACCGTGTCTTCACCTGTTGCACTGAAGTTGTTTGTTGATCTTTCAGATGCCAACATATCTAGAAACGCCAGTGAAAGTTCCCAGAAGCCTGAAGGTGCCTCTTTCTCGATCTTGGTGTGGACTATCAGGATTGTTTGATATGCTTTTGTATGCATATAGGCTCCCTATTTACACCTTTGGGTGGGAATTGTCTTACATCTACCATAGGAATATTTACCGGTTTACTTGAATTTTTCCTCAGCATTATATTTGTCACATCATCCCTGAACTGCGAAAAGAGTTGTGTATTTATTCTATGTGATTTGGCCCTCATATGTTTAACAGGTGATGATGCGACAGATCTTTCAGAATTGGCCTTTGAAGCTAAATCGTTCAAAGATGATGCCTGGTAAGATGCACAAATGATCGAATGACACCTTATTTTCATGTATCGTTTTGTGTTCTGAGTTTCAATGCTCTTCACCCTTTTGTTTCGACTAGTTGATGAGTAGGCTACAATGCCTTGATCTTTTTGGTAGCAATGGTTCTATTAGTCAAATTGCCAAGCTCAATCGAACTCTTAAGTTCCCAATTGTCCCAGAAAGGTTATGATATTATTCTAGATATTTTTCACTTTTGAGCTTCTGAAAGACATTAGTGATATTAAGGCATAATTACTGTATGATGGGCGCAGAGTCATAGACCTCTGTCACCAATCTTGGCAATCCATATTTTATTTTGCTTCCTTAAAAGTATATCTCTGATTAATTATACGATGTGTCGATAAGACAAGTTGTGCAGCTGATTACTTTGAGAAAAACATTATAATGAAAGACTCAAAGTCTTATATGTGAGGTGAGCCTCTGCTCCTGTTTGCCATCGTTCTAGTACTGGTTGGACATGGCAGCTGTAGTATGATGCTCATCAAGTCTGTATTTTGAAGTCAAAGCATGCTGGGATTTAAGTATCAGCCATCCGTCACTAAAGAATGCTTATATCTTTCCACATTTGGCTTCCATCTAATAATACTACAGTTTTAATCGGTTGATTAAAACAAAGCTGTTGGGCCAAAAAACATGGACAACACTTTGTAGTCTGTCATTTTGTGTGCCTGAATCGAATTTTCTATTTTCCATCCGGGCATCTGAAACTCTTGGAATGTTATCTTCGTTTTTTGGTTTTCCTTAACCACCTTTCCAAGTCTGGGAAGGATATTTACTCCCTGGAATGCTATCTTTCTTTTGGCTACTTGTTCCTGTTCAAGGCTTTCAGATGCAAGAATGTTGATATTGGAATCGGATCAGTGGATACATGGAAAAATGAACCCTAATTGAGGTCCTGACATTAATTTTTACATCCAAAATTGAGCTTTGTCAAAGCAATATTGCTTCTGGGCTCAACATGATGAATAATTTGATTTTCCTTTTAGCCATGGGCATAATTATTTATGAAAAGCATATTCCAGTTGTAGTCTACATCCCCATTACAGCTGCCATACCAGTTATTGATGAGACAAAAGCTGTTTATGAATGGCATTATTTATTTATGAGTCAAATTTTCCCATCAGCTATATCTCAACGGTTTTTCAGGTACGACGTCGCTTCGTTTCTCACCTTCAGGGTTATTTGTACGGGTGAACTTGTAAGGTTCTTCTACTTTAACTAGTCTCTTGTCTTAGTGTGTCATTTGGATGTTTTTTGCCTCCCACACTTGAAAAGCCAGTCGTCAAACTCCTTTTCTATCAGACAACAAAATCCTTCTACTGTTATTGGCAAGCACTGAGCTTGCCAAATCCACTTGAACTGTTTTGTCTCAGCTTGATGCTGTTGCTTGGATAATTACCTCATTGTTATCGCCAAACACATAATTTTGTCAAGTAACTGTATTGCATCTGTTGTCAAGATGGCATGCTTATAATAAGAATGGAAGTTTTGTAGAGCTCTCTCAGTAAGATGGTGTAATGGGGATCTCAGTGGTTCATCACCTCACCATTACTGAGACTTCGTGGCAAGGAATCAAATAGGGGGACAATAGCGGCCGCTTCAAAAGGCATTCTAATATTCCTAAAAAAATCAAAACTCAAGCCAAGCAATTTAATTACCCTTCTACTGTATCATGTGCAAACATTTTGAAGTTCACGCCTGCTATGATGCGCTCTCTGCTATTTGGCAGCCGCTAGGCCTGCTTTCCTGATTGTTTTAGCATGCATGTGGCAGCAATTTAAAACCTTCCATGGGGATAATAATTCTTCAAGATATATGCCCTCTTTTTATGCACTATGCCCACATGGCCTATGGTACCCATCAATGGAGTGGAGAGGGCATCGAATGGGGGTTCCTAGATATAACTTTTTATGCTTTGCAGGAAGCACGTGTACGATTTGCTGGGTTTGGAAAAGAGGAAGATGAATGGGTCAGTGTGAGGAAGGGCATCAGGGAGCGATCTATTCCGTTAGAACCTTCGGAGTGCCACCGAATCAATACCGGAGATCTTGTTTTGTGCTTTCAGGTACCGTTTATCTTTGAATTGACAATGCTCTCCATTACTCCAAGAAAGATTTATCACATGCTCATTACTGAAAGTCTGCAAGTTCAAGAGAATGTCATGATGACCAAATTTAGAGCTTGTGGCATCGATTCATTGTTATGCGAGTAATTGATGCCCCAACAAGAGAATCTTTTCATTTTGGTTTCTGGAGTGTCTGTGTTGACCTGTGATTCTGTACAGGAACGATTTGATCAAGCAGTCTATTGTGATGCCCGTGTTATGGAAATTCAGAGAAAACTGCACGATGCCAGCACTTGCACTTGCACCTTCATTGTCCGTTACGACCATGATTTCAGTCAGGTGAGTGCTGAACAAAGCCCAATTGGCCATTATATAAAAGGGTCCGTTGTTGATGTTAGGTTATCTGGACATCTGGCTACAGCATCTCCAAAAAACTTGGTTATGTCGTGCATTGTTTCTGCATGCATTTAATTTAAGCATATTATGACTTCTCATGTCGGCTAATTTGTGGTTCAGGAAATGGTTGAGCTGAGCAGATTGTGTTGCCGGCCGAGGCAAGAAGCGTGCCCACAGCTTTCCAAGACCAATCAGCATGAAACTGCCTTGAGCATCTCGGCCCGTAGCTTGTGGGAGTAGCCGTGCATTGCTCCGGAAAATCAGAGAACAACTGAATAGGGGGGATGGGGGTTTCTAATTTTCTTTGCCTGTTCTGAATTTGATAATAATAAAAAAGAGAGACTAAAATCTGCAAAATCGAACATGAGGATGAAAACTGAAAAGTATGTCAAGTACCTGGCATGGCAAGACACAATTAGAGGTAAGCATGCGAAGTGGTTTTCTATGGAATTCTTCCAGAAGACGATACACGTAGCATGTTGAACTCATAGCCATGCTAACCATTGGTTGCGATAACAACCTGCTGATTAATGAATGATCTGCACTTCTCCAAATTCTATCATGATCGTGTTCAGTCCATTGATTCTGAAGAAAAAACTTTGGTTTGCCTGCATATGACTTATTAGCGAGGTTACAGAATGACCCATCTTCAGGGAAGTCTCCAGTCTCAACATTCTCTTCTGTTGAGTCGGTTCTCTATAGTTCTCTGACTACTGATTTCCGTTCCATCTCTATAATGCAGTGCGACAACACATGAGCGCACAAATTTGCCACACAAATCTAAGTTTGACATCTTGAGCCAGTGAAGTTCCTGCCTTGGTGAATACTACTTGAAATTATTCTTTTACTATACCACACAAATCTAAGTTTGACAACTGTCAAGCACTTCTACCTATATTATTCGTGGGGGAATTGGAATGAGCTCTTTTTAAATGAAGAATTTCGATGCCGGTAAAAGAAACACAACCGCCACAATCGTGCACCCGCCGAGAGAGAGAGAGAGAGAGAGAGGCACCAACAAAGACCCCAAACCATATTAAGGATATCGAGCAGGACAATCATCGATCTACAGAAAGATCCCACCATACAAAGAGCTCCTTTGGGCTTTGACTGATCAAGAACACTAACTAGAGTACATAAAATTTCCTACAACTACAGAACGTTGACTTCTACAGATGCTGCACTACTTAACAAATAGCCAAAGCTTTCTATCATCGAGAGACTTATCTTAGCTCCAGAAATGCCAAGACTACGAGAAAGCAAAATAAGGAGCACCCGGTTATCTCTTCAGAGCTCCAACGGACTCAAGAAACGGTTCTTCCATAGCACACGGATGCAATATAAAGATTCTTTGCCCACTTGTCCTGCATGACAAAAACAGAGTGTCAACCTGAAGGTATAAAAAATATTGGGGCGAGTCACTTCAATAATCCAATGTCATGAAGTACGCACCTTGACATGTGTGCTTGGGAAAGCAGAAGTTCGCAGAGTCTCCTGGGTCTCATCCGTTGGCCTTCTCCTCGGTACACTAAGAACAAATGCAGCTTGGTCCCACGTCGCAGCAGTCGCTGTGATTCGATACCCACAGTCCCATCTCCGATGTATGCCTTCGCTTGGGTAAAGGAAATCCAATTCAACGACCTGAAATTGATGGTTGAATGGTGAGTTCTCCACAACCATCAGTAAATGGATGTAAAGATGACACTAACTCCAGTACCTGGTCTGAAAAACCTGCACCACGAGACATTACGATAGCCCATCTACTCCCCGATGTGGCCATTGCAGTCACGTAAAAACCCTCTTTCCATTTTTTGTTGATCCATTTGAATGGAAAAGAATCGCTGACTTTGTAAGACTGTTGAAGATACTGGGTTCCTGGGGGTCAAGAAATTAGTACTAGAAGAATGCAAACATCAGCAGGCACATGATACCCAAATTAGGGAAAGTACCTTTCGACATCACCACTAACGAGCTCCCATTAGTGGCTCCAGCTATTGCACTAATGTAATAGTTCTTTTCCCACTGATCCATTATCCATTCCTTCAATCGTACATAGCATGTTAGCGTCTGACAATTTACAACAGAGTAAAAGTTGCTTTTTTACACTGGCAACTTTGGGATAACCCAGGCCAAATCTACATATTTACATCCTAAATGACCGGGCTTTTTCAAGCATACCTCTACTTAACCTAAAAAGGAAGATTCCTTAATTTGGCATGCACCCAGATGACTGGCAATTCGATATCTCACAAAAATGTTAAAAGAGCATACAATTCTCAAACCACTCAAATAAGGAGATCCATGGCCTTAGGGAAGTACCTTGTGAAGAAAATAAGGAGAGAGTTCATAAACTTGTGCAGTAAATCCAGTGCCAGCATCCATAATAAGGGCCCAGAGATTTTGACACGAGGCCACGCTGCTGATAAACAAGCCATCCTCATTTCCTTTCTCAATGTGTTGATTGAGCCTTGCATCCGCCACATTATAGTGATACCTATGAAGTAAATAATAATTTAACTATGGTAACCATTAACGCTAACCAATCATAATTAATTCAAACATTTAGCAAAGTTGCTCAGGATAATGCAAGACAAACAAGTTTATTGCGAAAACGATAGGGCCAACTGTGGAAAAATCCAAACCACTTCATAAAAAAATTTATGACCACATCATATTAATACCTTTGCTTCATAGGGCGGCGAGCATTGTAAACACTTATCCACTGAGTTGCTGGCATACCCAAGCGGACCTTCTTCTTTGGTTGTCCATCATCATCTTCATCGTCCTCCTCCATTGTCAAGCGTCCTCTCTTATGACCAACCTGAATGATGAGCTTTTCATGACAAAACATAAAAATCCAAGTCAGCTCCACACACATTTTCCAAAAGGATAATTAAACTGGAATGATATATTTGTTAATAACTGCAAAAGGAGAGAAGCATCTTCTGTACCTTCTGAGCCCCCTCCGTGTTAATTGGTCTAATATCTGGGTTTGGACCAATAATCCCATCAAAAAAGGAAATATATTTCGCATATTTAGGTTGGTCATCAAACTTCAAATTCACCACATGTTCAACGAACTGTCGAAATGGTTGTGGACAGAAACAACAGAGAGTTTCAGGAGATGTAGCCATCTTCTTCTTAGAAACAAGAAAACCTTTATTCTCTCCCTGCAATGTGATAAAAAGCATAAAGATCAAGTCAATACTGTCAACATTTGACAAAACTTTATAAGCAATTTGCTAATACCAACCTGATAACCTTGCCAGGGTAAACGACCCCGGAGAAGGAAAATCAGTGTGTAAGCAAGGGATTCAAGATCATCTCTCCTGCTACCAATTCTCCCTAAATGAGCATGGACACTAGCATAACGTACTGTTCCCCTGTGACAAAGAAGCCAAACAAGTGCAGCTAGTGTTACAAATTGTATTGTGGAAAGAACCAGGTCAATGAGAACAAAGAGAAAACTTCTCGTTAGAAAATATGTAAAACAAATGCAGACACCTGAAAACATCTGGCCGTTGATCATACTCAACATGCAGACCAGTTGAATTGTCCCGCCATTTAGTCGCTGACAGATGCGAACAGATAACTATTCAATGTGAGACCTCTACCAGCTTCACAAATAAAACTATGCATAATGTAAGCAACAAATTACCTAATCCGAGGTCAACTAAGAAAAGTTTCTTCTCATCAGGAGTCCCGGGTGTGCCAAGTAAAAAATTCTCTGGCTTTACATCCCCATGTACATATCTGACAAAGTTCCGTAATATATATGTATGAGAACAAGTGAGTTACAGATAGCATAATGATTCCAAGGAGGGACAATTAAAACTATTCTCCATCATTAAAGAAGATACCGTCTAATTCTCAATACGCGACAATGATATTCTGCTCTTATTGTTTCTTTATAAGAGTAAATAAATGCTTAAACTTATATTAAGATGGGAATACCATACTAAATCCTTCATACCAGGCCTATGTCATGAACCATTAATGAATCTCATTAGAGACAAGGAAGAAAATCGGTCAGACAAGTTGCACTAGAAAGATCAGTCACACAACATGAAATTAAAAAAAGATCTGCAAATGTAATAGCAGAAGTACCCTTTAGAGTGAATTTTCTCCAATATGGATATTGCTTCAATGGCAATGCATGCAACCATTTCAGTCGACATTCTGCATAAAAAAACAAGTTTTTAAGCACTAAAGAAGTACAACGAAGCAATAAGCATTGAGGGCCACAACAGTGTACCCCAAACTTACGTGTGAGAATTGTTATTCCAAACATCCCACAGGCTTGGCCCCAGCATATCCATAACCTGCAGGTAGTATGATCTCTCAAAGACCTATTATGACGCCAAAACGTGGGAAAAATCTACTTCAATAATCTGCACAAGAAAGCATACCATGACATAGTAGTCACCTTGCCGACCCTTGAAGTGTACCCGGGGTACACCATGACTACCGCCTAGAGTGCTGCACAAATGATACAAGAGTAAGTGATTCATTTAACAGAATGATACAAGACTGACAAACAGAATGGCGCAAGGGAATAAAAGCATACTCACTTGTAGACCTGCCATTCGTATGGCGGTCCATAGTTACATCCTTTGCTACTTCTATGCTCAAACTTCAAGGCCACCTGAGGGGCACAGATAGTGTATATAAAGGAATCATGGATACATGAATGGAAGTGAAGCGTAAACGGAAAACCAGTATACCTCCGCTGGCCCATTTGTATTAATAGCAGAAACACGTCGACCAACATAAACTTGCCCAAAGCCGCCCTTTCCCAATCTCCTGTCTATTCTATACATCGGAGACCCACCGACCTGGACCTGCAATAAAGTATTCAACAAATTATATCCCAAATAAAGCAAGTAACCACCAAGAAAGTAATCCGCTAGTTACTTTGTCATACAGGATAGGTAACTCAGCAGGCTGTAACCGGCTTAAGTGACGCTCACAATGCTATGGCCACACACCACAAACACGTAACAAAATCATAAAGCCCCTAAAGTTATGAGGTCACTCAAATTACGAAAGCATTCAGGCCATCCATAGTGGAAAAGAGGCTTGCAAAGATAACTTAAGTATGTGAAAATCTAGAGCTAACGAAATTTTTAAGCATGAGAAGGTTCATGGTTCTTGTGCTGCCACCTCGCCGTGACAACTGTATAATTTCATCAGATGCAGTTAACATGTCATATGTGGAACCATCAGCTTGCACACAACAATTTGGGAATCACGTGAAAACGTCCAGATTTTTTAATAATGAAGAGAGCTCAGAAAACCTATCCAAGACTAAACGCAGAAAATGTGCAATATTCATAGCACAGGCACAGCTGGAAATGTTTTACCTAGATGTGAAAAAAAAAGTAATGGGCAAGCAGTGGCTAAAAGCAGAATATGAGCAATAAATAGCTGAGCTGGAATTACAATCAAATAGAAATGAATTGAACCATCATGGACAAACTGCAAAAACAACAAATTTAACGACTATTACACTGCATTTACTTTCTCAGAATGTATTGTAAGCTCTTTACTCCAT